AATTCCCAGCCATTAGTAGGAATAAACACTGCCTCAAGCTAGCTGGTCAGTGGGAGTTAAAAAATGACAGAACATAGCACTTGTGGTCAGTAGTATTAGGAGTAATGCCTCAATCATGCTGGTGGAATAATGCCCCATCATGGACGCTGGTGGGAGGAATTATGCCTCATCATGGACGCTGGTGGGAGGAATTATGCCCCATCATGGATGTTGGTGGGAGGAATTATGCCCCATCATGGATGTTGGTGAGAGGAATTATGCCCCATCATGGACGCTGGTGGGAGGAATTATGCCCCATCATGGATGTTGGTGGGAGGAATAATGCCCCATCATGGATGTTGGTGGGAGGAATAATGCCCCATCATGGATGTTGGTGGGAGGAATTATGCCCCATCATGGATGTTGGTGGGAGGAATTATGCCCCATCATTGGTGTCAGTGGGAGGAATTATAACCCTCTGTTGGTTTCTGTGGAAGGAATGGTACCTCCTCATTGGTTTCAGTGTAAGAAATAATGCCTCAAGAACCAGATAAAAACAAGCAAATGGCCACAGTTTGGAAACCACCGCAATAAAGCATCAACTTCCTATAGCTCCATTACACATAGCGAGATCCCTCCTACTTGTTATTTGTGGATCCTTTTATGGTTGAACCCCTTTTCAACCAGTTACTAAAACTAGTTTTCCTGCTCACCTCCAGCATATCTGTCACTATTTTTACCTTTAAAAAAGATGATTACAAAAGTACTTTTAATGTTGTAAAGCTAAACTTGGTAGAAGGGATTGAAGGAACAAAACAAATCCCCTGAACCCCAATGAGTGACTGTTTAAACAAATACTGGCTTACATGGCTAGAATAAAGTGACTCCTTTATTAAATCACCCTTAAATAGAGGGCTTAATGAATCTGTTATTGTGGTATACAAAGAGTGAAGATTATGCACAACTGCAGCTGTTTTTCCATTATTTCATGTCATCGTCATGTTTCCTGTTTCAATTTGCTGCTAGGATATATGAAAAAATGTTCTTTAAAGAATGAAGTATTATCAGCTATGTAAGTAGATATTTTTGTTCTTTGGAAAGGGGCAAAATATGACCCCAGCATAACCCTAGCCCATCTTTACTTGCCAAATATATATAGCATATATCCATCACTAACATTAAGTATGCGTGTTATGATTTCTCTTTTTTTTATTGTGGCTGACCAGATGTTTATATTTTTATATTACCATATATATATGGTGACCACTATATCCAGTACAGTAGACGATGGAAAAATCCAAGCTGTTTAACCTCTTGCCCTCCAGAGGATTTACCCCCCTTCCTGACTAGGCCATTTTTTTGCGTTACAGTGCTGGGTTATTTTAACTGACAATCGCGCGCAGTCATACAACACTGAACCTAGATGAAATGTACGTCCTTTTTTTCCCCACGAATTGAGCTGTCTTTCGGTGGTATTTGATTGCCTGTGTGGTTTTTATTTTTTGCGCTATAAGCAAAAAAAGACCGACAATTTTGAGGAAAAAAAACAATATTTTGGACTTTTTGCTGTTAAACATGTCCAGTAAAAAAAAAATGTAAAAAATCTAATTTTGTCATAAATTTAGGCCAAAATGTGTTCTGCTACATGTCTTTGCTAAAAAAAATCCCAATACGTGTAAATTAATCGGTTTATGTGAACGTTTTAGCATTTACAAATGGCGGTATACAGTGGGGATCGAAAGTTTGGGCACCCCAGCTAAAAATTTGTATTAATGTGCATAAAGAAGCCAAGGAAAGATGAAAAAAATCTCCAAAAGGCATCAAATTACAGATTAGACATTCTTATAATATGTCAACAAAAATTAGATTTTATTTGCATCATTTACACTTTCAAAATAACAGAAAACAAAAAAATGGCATCTGCAAAAGTTTGGGCACCCTGCAGAGTTAATATCTTGTACTGCCCCCTTTGGCAAGTATCACAGCTTGTAAACGCTTTTTGTAGCCAGCCAAGAGTCTTTCAATTCTTGTTTGAGGTATCTTTGCCTATTCTTCCTTACAAAAGTCTTCCAGTTCTTTGAGATTTCTGGGCTGTCTGTCACGCACTGCTCTTTTAAGATCTATCCATAGATTTTCAACTATGTTGAGGTCAGGAGATTGTGAAGGCCATGGCAAAACCTTCAGTTTACGCCTCTTGATGTAATCCCCCGTGGATTTCGAGGTGTGTTTAGGATCATTATCCATTTGTAGAAGCCATCCTCTCTTTAACTTCAGCTTTTTCACAGATGGCATCAAGTTACCATCCAAAATTTGCTGAAATTTTATTGAATCCATTTTTCCTTCTACTCGTGAGATGTTCCCTGTGCCACTGGCTGCAACACAACCCCAAACCATGATTGATCCAACCCCATGCTTAACAGTTGGACAGAGGTTCTTTTCATTAAATTCTGTGCCCCTTCTTCTCCAAACGTACCTTTGCTCATTCCGGTCAAAAAGTTCAATTTTAACCTCATCGGTCCACAGAACTTGTTTCCAAAATGCATCAGGCTTGTCTATATGTTCATTTGCAAAGTTCAAACGATGATTTTTGTGGTGAGGACGTAGAAGAGGTTTTCTTCTGATGACTCTTCCATGAAGACCATATTTGTACAAGTATTTCTTTATAGTGGAATAGTGTACCACAACTCCAGTGTCTGCCAGATCTTTCTGGAGTGATCGTGCAGTCAAACGTGGGTTTTGAATTGTTTTTCTCACAATCCTGTGAGCTGTTCTGTCTGATATTTTTCTTGGTCTTCCAGATCTTGCTTTAACTTCCACTGTTCCTGATGACTGCCATTTCTTAATTACATTCTGCACAGAGGATATTGACATCTGAAAACGCTTTGCTATCCTCTTATAGCCTTCTCCAGCTTTGTGAGCGTCAACTATTTTCAGTTTTCTAGACAACTGCTTAGAAGAACCCATGGTGCTGATTGTTGGGGCAAGGTCAGATGAGTCTTGGCATTTAAAACCTTTGAGACTGACATAACCTGGTCTTCCCAGACGATGATTGAGAACAATCCATGACACTGGCAGGTCTCAGGTTTGCAAAGGGGGCAGTGCATGCTATAAATTCTGCAGGGTGCCCAAACTTTTGCAGACGCCATTTTTTTGTTTTCTGTTATTTTGAAAGTGTAAATGATGGAAATAAAATCTAACTTTTGTTGACATATTATAAGAATGTCTAATCTGTAATTTGATGCCTTTTGGAGATTTTTCCATCTTTCCTTGGCTTCTTTATGCACATTAATACAAATTTTTAGCTGGGGTGCCCAAACTTTCGATCCCTACTGTAGATACTGGGATTTTTAAATTTTTTTTTCCTACTAGTAATGGCGGCGATCAGTGACATTTAATGGGACTGCGGCGGGCATTCTGACACTGGGGGGGAACTAACTTAGTGTCACTGACATCCCCAGTGACACCAATACAGTGATCAGTGCTAAAAAAAACAGCATTGACACTGTAATAATGACACTGGACAGGAAGGGGTTAATGTGAGGGGTGATCAAAGGGTTAACTGTGTGTAGGGAGTGTTTTACTAGGGGGCGGGGGTGTGTGCTTCACTGTAAGCACACTGATCACTGTACTGTGCACAGCTATCCTGAGCACTGGTGCCCAAGCTGACAGGGAGGAAGACAGTTTGTGATTGTCAGTAATTTCCAGGTGCCGGAGGGTAATCACCGGCCGGGACCTGGTGATTGACATCCGTGGCCGCGAAAGGCGGCGCGGGTAGCCCCCTACCCGGAAATGCAAAATCACGTATATATATACATAAATTTGTGCACCCGTGTCACTGTGTAGCACTATATCTGCTATAAGGCGGCGGGTAAGCGGTTAAAGCATAGCTCCACTTTTGTTGAGAAAAAAATATTCTGCTTTCTCTAGGGGCATTCGTGCGGGCTCGCTCCTGAGCCACCCTGTCTGTGTCTTTTGACACAGACAGGGCTGCCTGGCCCTGCACCTTGCTCCCTCGTCACAGAATTCTGTTGAAAGCAGCGGGAGCTAATGGTTCCTACGAGTCTGCCCAGAAAGGAGGGAGAGAGCCGCTGCCTTCATGCACAGAGCTGTTTCGAAAACAGGTCAGGTAAGTATCAGGGGGTGACGTGTGGATTCTGTGACACAGGTTTTTTTACCTTAATGCATAGAATGCAAAGAATGCATTAAGGTAAAAACCTTTAGGCTTTAGAACCACTTCAAAGTTGAACAAAAGCTTCCATTAAAAAAAAATTGCCATCGGGTAGAATCCAGGAGCACTTTCAGCTTCAAATTTTTGCAAAATACAAAAGCTAAAATTAGTCACTGTATTATATAAGGCCAACAACTATTTCTCATGCTGTCAGCAAGCTTTGAAAAATTAGAAAATTTTAAAAGTGACATTCACTAAATTCACTAAACTCTGATAGAAAAACATTACTGTATCAAACCATTTCACATACATTTTGTCCCTAGTGCTTTGTCCTGTGCCCTGCCTGCATTTTTACTGTTCTTATTGCCTGGAAACTGAGAAAGTCCATGGCGTCCAAAAAGTGTCCCTTTAGGTCAAAATCGGTTTTAGACCAGCTAGAGAACAGCAATAGTAAATCAGAACCACTTGCAGAATTGAGTGATAATGATTTGTGGGGAAATTCATCATCAGACACTGAAAACGATTTTGCAAACTTAGAGCTACCGTATTTTTTCGCTCCATAAGACGCACCTGACCATAAGACGCACCTAGGTTTTAGAGGCAGAAAACAGGAAAAAGAATATTCTAAACCAATGGACTGCAGACATAGTACAGGAGATGACCAGAGACTGCGGACATAGTACAGGAGATGACCAGAGACTGCAGACATAGTACAGGAGATGAACAGAGACTGCGGACATAGTACAGGAGATGGTCAGAGACTGCAGTCTCTGGTCACTTCCTGTACTATGTCTGCAGTCTCTGACCATCTCCTGTACTATGTTTGCAGATATAGTACAGGATATGACCAGAGACTGCAGACATAGTACAGGAGATGACCAGAGACTGCAGACACAGTACAGGAGATGACCAGAGACTGCGGACATAGTACAGGAGATGACCAGAGACTGCGGACATAGTACAGGAGATGACCAGAGACTGCAGACATAGTACAGGAGATGACCAGAGACTGCAGACAGTACAGGAGATGACCAGAGACTGCGGACACAGTACAGGAGATGACCAGAGACTGCAGACAGTACAGGAGATGACCAGAGACTGCAGACAGTACAGGAGATGACCAGAGACTGCAGACAGTACAGGAGATGACCAGAGACTGCAGACAGTACAGGAGATGACCAGAGACTGCAGACATAGTACAGGAATGACCAGAGACTGCAGACATAGTACAGGAGATGACCAGAGACTGCGGACAGCACAGGAGATGACCAGAGACTGCGGACAGTACAGGAGAAGACTGCTGACCTTTGAGGTTTGGGGGGAGTAGGTACCTGAATTTGACAGGTACCCGCTCTTACTTCCACAGAGTTGTTCTTTGGTTAGTGTCCGCTCTGCAGTGGGACCTTACCTGTTCCTCTATCCAGCACGTGCTGTCTTCCCGGCTTCTGTAGTGTGGGCGCTCGGCTTGACAGCCGGGTGCCCAGTGCGCATAAGCGAGAAGCGCTGCTTTGTGATTGGTCCGGCGGCTTCTGAAACCTGTCATGTGTCCCAGCTGCCGCCTTACCATTCACAAAGCGCACCGCTTCTCGCGCATGCGCACTGGGCACCCGGCTGTCAAGCCGAGCGCCCACATCACAGAAGCCAGGAAGACAGCACGGCGCTGGATAGAGGAACAGGTAAGGTCCCGCTGCAGAGCTGAGCGGCCGGCCCTGTATTCTGACATGGCGGCGGTGGAAATACCGGACCGGCCACTCCATATTCACTCCATAAGACGCACTGACATTTCCCCCCTTTTTTGGGGAAAAAAAGTGCGTCTTATGGAGCGAAAAATACGGTATATTTCAAATTTCAGTGTTTTTGGTTTGATTATATTATTGAATTAAATTTATTATCATTATATTATTATTTTTTATGATTATTTATTAAATTATAATTTATGATTTTGTGTTTCAAATTTTAACATACCCGGGATGTTTACTAGACTCTTGTTTGGACATATTTCAGTGAGTTATTCCTAAGAATTACAGGCCTACAATAAAAAAAACTACATATTTCCATCCAAAAAAATGTACCGCTGTGAGCACAGAATTATGGACATAATCAGACCGCTAGGGAGGCTACGACAAAGAGAAAGCAGAGTGAATAAAATGGTGAATAAGAGCATTCCCAGAGGTGAATGTTCATACTTGCACATTATGACACATTTTGCCCGGCCACCCCTTTCCCAATTAACTTCACTATAACTGATATAGTTACCAATTGATGAAGAATCTATTCAGGTGGAACTAAACTAAACTCTCTCAATCAACATGATTTTATTTAATTTTTATGCTGCTAGCATCAGTAAATAGATAGGAAAGTATATTTTATTGTCTTGTTCTAACTTTTTTTTCCCATAATAATATAATTATGTATTATAATATAATCCACACACATGCCCAACTGACAGCACGCCAATGAATTACATTATAACACCTGTGACAATACATATGGCACGTTAAAGTGGAAAGTTGCTCTCTCAATGACCTATCTCAATCTATTTTTAATCCTTAGGCCAGGGGTCTGCAACTTTTAAGACATAAAGAGCCACTTGGACCCGTTTCCGAAGGGAAAAAAAAGACTGGGAGCCGCAAAACCATTGCAACATTTAAAACAAATCCGACACTGCATATATTGTTTCTTACCTTAATGCTATATACAGGATCGTGCAGTTAGCTTCATCCCCATATAGTAATTCATCCCCCATAGTAATTCATCCTCCATATAGTAATTCATCCCCCCTATAGTAATTCATCCCCCATAGTAATTCATCCCCCTATAGTAATTCATCCCCCATATAGTAATTCATCCCCCATATAGTAATTCATCCCCCATATAGTGATTCATCCTCCATAGTAATTCATCCCCCATATAGTAATTCATCCCCCCTATAGTAATTATTCATCCCCCCCATAGTAATTCATCCCCCATAGTAATTCATCCCCCATATAGTAATTCATCCCCCATATAGTAATTCATCCCCCCTATAGTAATTCATCCCCCTATAGTAATTCATCCCCCTATAGTAATTCATCCCCCATATAGTAATACATCCCCCATAGTAATTCATCCCCCATATAGTAATTCATCCCCCTATAGTAATTCATCCCCCATATAGTACTTCATTAGTAATTCATCCCCCATATAGTAATACATCCCCCATAGTAATTCATCCCCCATATAGTAATTCATCCCCCATATATAGTAATCATCCCCCCATATAGTAATTCATCCCCCTATAGTAATTCATCCTCCATAGTAATTCATCCCCCATAGTAATTCATCCCCCATATAGTAATTCATCCCCCATATAGTAATTCATCCTACATAGTAATTCCCCCCATATAGTAATTCATCCCCCATAGTAATTCATCCCCCATATAGTAATACATCCCCCATATAGTAATTCATCCCCCATATAGTAATTCATCCCCCATATAGCAATTCATCCCCCATATAGTAATTCATCCTCCATATAGTAATTCATCCTCCATAGTAATTCATCCCCCATATAGTAATTCATCCTCCATAGTAATTCATCCCCCATAGTAATTCATCCCCCATATAGTAATTCATCCTCCATAGTAATTCATCCCCCATAGTAATTAATCCTCCATATAATAATTCATCCCCATAGTAATTCATCCCCCCTATAGTAATTATTTCCCCATATTGTCTCAATTCACTTACCTTTGCTCCGCGCGTTCCTCTCGCTGTGTTCCCGCGCTGTGTTCCGGTCTTCAGGGGGCGGACTGTGAGAGGAGTTCGTCACGCTGCCCCGCCTACATCCTGGCTGCCCCGCCTACATCCTGACAGCTAATGTTCCACGCTCCGCGGGCCGGATTAAAAGAGTCCTGACTTTTGAGGCGGCCGCCCGAGAGGAGGGAGGGGAGCGGGCGCCCGGCACACAGAAGAGCCGCATGTGGCTTGCGATCCGCAGCTTGCCGACCACTGAAAACCCTGCCTGTCACCTGGTGGGCAGTGTGCTCCGGAGCCGCAGCAAAGATGAAAAAGAGCCGCATGCGGCTCTGGAGCCGCGGGTTGCCGACACCCGCCTTAGGCCATACATTATACAATTTTCTTGAGAATGTTGCTTTAGATTGACCAAAAACCATATAATATGAGGTCAAACCTAAACAACACTTTCAACTGTATTCCAATTAGGCAGGTCGTTGACTACATAATTACAGGTAAATCCAAAGGAAATTGGACAGAAAATTGTATAGTGTATGGCCAGCCTAATTCTGCTAGCATTAGTAAATAGATAAGGAAGAGATAAAGAAAGTATATCATATTTACTTGTTTTAGTCCTCATGCACACTGGACGTTTTGATAACGCTGGTAACGTTAGCTGTGTAAAGTCACGTTAAAAACATGAGTTTTTCAGCTTTTTTTAGCGTTTTTCACATTAGTGGCGTTTTGCCGAGTTTAGTGGCGTTTTCCCGCATTTTTCTGCAATAGCTTTTTTTGGGTCAAAAAAATTCCAAAAACATTGGTTTGTCACGTTTTGCAATGTTTTTCAGCGTTAGAGCATTTTTCCAGCTAAAAAAACTCTTCTAGAAACCCACTAGTCCTGGGGTTTTTTTCCAGCCAAAAAACATCCCAGCCAAAAAACGTTGATTACAGTCTATGTGTGCATGGACACATAGGATATCATGCTGGGGGGTTTACTAGCTGTACAAAAAAAAAACGTCAAAAGCCAAAAACAGCAGCTGTAAAAACGTCCAGTGTGCATGAGGGCTTAAACTCTTTTTTTTTTTTTTTTTACATTTCTTCAGTATCTCCCTGGTTTCCAGGCCTAGACAAATGGGGGTTTATTTACCAAAGCTGGAGAGTCCAAAATCAGACTCCCTTCTGCATAGAAACCAATCAGCTTCTAACCTCAGCTTGTTCAATGAAGCTTTGGCAATGAAACCTGGAAGCTGATTGGTTTCTATGCAGAAGTGAGTTGATTTTACACTCTCCAGCTTTAGTAAATAAACCCCATGATGTCCTACATCCCAGGAGTCTTCAAGAGGGGAGGAGGGGTTTTCTCAGCTAAGCACAACTTCCTGAATGTGTGCCTAAACTAAAGGCAGATAGATTCCAGGAAGTAAATGCTACATGAATCCTCTGCCCTTACTCAAGATGGCCATGGCTAGAATATTAGGGGTCGATTTCTTAACAAATCAAAGCAGTGAGATAAGGATGGATGGGTGAGTTTACTTTGAATATTAAAAACAAATAAATCATGTTTTCAGTTTGTAATACTCAGATACTGATTAGTTTTGCTTTACTTGCTCAACTAGAAAACTCAGATAAACTGTGACCTTTAGACATAGGTACAGCGAAAGATTATGAGGCTTTAATCTTTCTTTTATGTTCTGCATGTGCTAGCTGCTAGACCATTGTATGAAATATTGCACCCTTGGCATATATTCGATAGTCCCGCTTTCTAAGCATCTCATGTGTGATTAAACTGTCAGTACAGTAAACTATTCAGATTAACCTGGCCTTTTTAAAGTTAGGCTTTAAAGGATTCTTGGATTATATAGCAAGCATTCCTGCACTGAAAAGGCTTTGGTAATTATCTTCAACTGTACCTGCAACACCATATGCACAACAGTTTTTAAAAATCAAGGCTAGGAGTTAGAATATTCCACCAAACTGGCAAATACCTTGATGTCTCCGATGGGCTAAAAATAAAACATCAATTTTCTTAGCTACATTTTCCACGTCAAGAGCATTCCATTCCATTGTCAGCTATAGGCTGTTTGTTTAGATTTCTATTAAAGTTGGTTTGGTATTTGAGCTGAATAGTAAAAGAATCATTCTTTCGTGGAAATTGTTTCAGAAACAAATGTGGGCGGTGGGTTTACTCACCTATTGCTCCTTGGATGCATAGAAAGGGGGAGATTTACTAAAACTTGAGAGTTCAAAGTCTGGCGCAGCCCTGCATAGAAACCAATCAGCTTCCTGGTTTTATTGTAAAAGCTTAATTGAATAAGCTGAAGTTAGAGGCTGATTGGCTACCATGCAAAGATGCACCAGATTCTGAGTGCTCAAGTTTTAGTAAGGCTACGTTCACACTAGTTTTGCCAGACAGGCGTTTGGGAAGCGTTTTTAACGCTTATCAAACGCCTATGAAAATTCTGCACATGGCAGTACACAGTGCTGTTCACACGGAAGCGTTAGCGTCGTGTTGCGTCGCTGCAAAACTGACGCCTCGTGTCGAGT